AAAATTCATTTAAAAAACCGCCTCGAGCTCAATATAAATTGTTGAATATAATTGTTATAAAGGCCAAAAAAATAACAAAAACAAATAACTTAAGGACGAGCACACCTAAAAGTTAAACATTCTAAAAAATATAATTATTAGCAAAAACCCACAATACCAATAACCACATGATCAAGTGAATTGCAGCGGAATAGCTGCGCTTCATTGTGTTGGCATAACAAAAATGAAAATAGTGGAAAAAAGCAAACGATAATTTACAAGGCGTACTTAGCACGGTGCATAGGCAACTGGCTGAGTCAGTGGGATCGTCGGTTCGAATCCTACTGAAAGAAGTCTGATGAGGAAATGTGGTGATTTCCGAATTAGCTATCACTTCTACCATTTTTACAAATTATTGTTGCTTTTCCACAACAAATTTCCATTTAAAAAACGGCGTCGAGCTCAATATAAATTGTTGAATATAATTGTTATAAGGCCAAAAAAATAACAAAAACAAATAACTTAAGGACGAGCACACCTAAAAGTTAAACATTCTAAAAATAGAATTATTAGCAAAAACCAACAATACCAACAACCACATGATCAAGTGAATTGCAGCGGAATAGCTGCGCTTGATTGTGTTGGCATAACAAAAATGAAAATAGTGGAAAAAAGCAAACGATAATTTACAAGGCGTACTTAGCACGGTGCATAGGCAACTGGCTGAGTCAGTGGGATCGTCGGTTCGAATCCTACTGAAAGAAGTCTGATGAGGAAATGTGGTGATTTCCGAAATAGCTATCACTTCTACCATTTTTTCAAATTATTGTTGCTTTTCCACAATAAATTTTCATTTCAATATAAATTGTTGAATATAATTATTGTAAGGCCAAAAAAAATAACAAAAAGAAGTTTTTGAAGACTTAAAAACATTTATCTGCTGATAATTATTATGAAAAGACTGTGGCAGCCCTAAAGACAACTCTGCATAATTTTTGACATTCTCTTTTTCACCGTTTTTCGTCAGGCAAAAAACTGCAATATCTTTTTTACCACGCGGTTCTGTTAAGCTATAAAATTTGTTTCATTACACATTTAATAAAGATTAATTTGGTGGTTGAATAAATATCCCCATAATTGGTGACCCCGATAAGAAAGTAAAACTACCAACGCATCATTGACATTAACTAAACCAGGATGCCACCACAATTAGCAGATGAGCAGAACACTGAACACGGTGATCCAAAGGCCACCGCGGCAAACGAGCACCAGCAGGTAGTACCTCACACACATGTCGGTGCAATTGGTTCGCTCAAACTACCGCGTTTCATGGGTGCAGATCCCGAACGGTGGTTCACACAAATCGATGGACTTCTGCTCGTTAACCGCATAACTTCAGATGTTTCAAAATTCAACAACGTCATCGCTGCCTTGGACACCGACACATTACGCCAAGTTTCTGACATCGCCAAAAATCCGCCGGAATCAGAGGAACTAATAACTCGCTTCGGCATCTCTAAGGAAAAACTCCTCCTGAAACTACTCTTCGGCACGGTTCTTAGTAGCGGTCAAAGACCTAGCCAGCTCCTACAAGAAATGCAGGATCTTGCGGGATCAACAATGCATCGCGATGCACTAACAACCTTATGGCTACAACGTATGCCCGACAACGTCAGGTGCATATTATTGTCATGCACATCAACAGATCCGGAGGAGATAGCGAAAATAGCAGACAAAATAGTCGACAATACACCAACAAACGTATACGAATTAGACTCGTCTGCAAACTCCGCATCTTGCGTCGCAATCAACAAACACAAACCGCAAAAGTTCGAAGTAAGAGTCACGGCCTCGGAGGAATCGATGAATCAAATTGCTTTAAAACTCAGTGAGCTTTCCACTAACATAAAGGGCGACTTCCAGGCGCTCGAACCAAAAAGTCTGTAAATACCACATTCGCTTCGGCAAAGCAGCCTTCAAATGTACACCATCATGCGAGTTCACGTCGCAGTTCTTACCCAAAATTCGACAATACATGCAACAACTGCGTCCGGTTCCCGCCCCACATCACAGCAACAAAAAAGCGATTATTCACAAAGACATTTTTCATGCAGTCACGTTTTCCTTCGTAGTAACCACATTAAAAAACCACTCGAACCTCCGTACACAGGACCACATAGAGTAGTAAAACGTATAAGCGATCGCGTGTTCAACATCGAAATCAACGGCAAGCCTCAAAACATTTCAATCAAGAGGCTCAAGCCTGCGTTCATGGAGAGAGAACTCACTCAACCAACAAAGGTTCTAAGGAGTCATACTCGCAAGTCAGCACCTTGCGATCAACGTATAAATCGTGAGACATCAGTAGGGGCAGGGTAGCTGTGGCAGCACTAAAGGCAACTCTGCATAATTTTTTACATTCTCTTTTTTCATCGTTCTTCGTCAAGCAAAAAAACTGCAATATCTTTTTTACCACGCGGTTCTGTTAAGCTGTAAAATTTGTTTCATTATACATTTACTAAAGATTAAATTGGTGGTTGAATAAATAGCCCCATAAGACTTTATTTATATAAGTCTTAAAGTAATAGTTATCGATGACTTGAAAAGTTTTTTTCACACATAATTATTATCAAAAGACTTTTATAATTCTAATGATTGGACGACTCTTTAAAACTCCACCATGAAATAATTATTATTCTGTGATGTCCTACGAAGTGTTAATTGCCCTATGCTGGATTCTTTTTATAGTCCTAAATTCTATAGTACCGAACCAATTCTAAAATCGACAGAAGAAAAAAGTATCATGGTTTGTTTGGTTTTGCCATGTGCGATTTTTAGTTATTTTCAAAGAAATGTGTTTTCAATTTGAAATTAAATTTGTTTGAATGATGGTAAGAAATGTACTTTTACATACCTTTGGCTGTAGCTGAGGCAGAGATGCTTGCTGTTATTGGTTAGATCAAACAAGGTCTCAACATGTTAAAGTTTTAACACAAATTTTGGATTTGTATTACCAAACTATGAAAAACCATCTGTGAAGTCCAGAATAATAGCGTACTTGAACGAAAAACCCACCAAACACATATCTATGTAAATCAAACAAGCCCCCCGCTGCATCCCTTTTTGAATAGTTCCGTACTAGTTCTAAATTCGACAGATAAGATATAGTTCATTCTGCATCCCTGGTTATATAATTCCGGACAAGTTCTAAATTTGCTACTTTAGATATAGATTTTTAATGAGAATTGTTTTTATTCTTTACCAGGCCAAGCAAAAATATGCACAAAAAAAACTGAAAATATGCGCTATAAAAATCTCAATAAATCGCTAAAATATGCTCTTAAATATGCTAAATCAATGAGGTTTTATCTAATTTTTACAGCATTTTACCAGTATAAAATGTCAAGCTTTTTTAAATTATCAATCTTTCGACATTGCAACCACCGAAATAAAACAGGTTTATTGTTTAATCGGAATTACCCGTTCGGTCGGTTGCGCGTTGGTCGTTCATATATATATACATAAAAACCTACATACAAAAATATTTACACGCAAGGCGAATTGTTTTGAATTCGCCTCGCATTGTACCAAGGCGAATTCATACAAGGTGGTAGCAGAAGTATAAAAACATATGTATGAATGCGCCTTATTTCGCCGAAAATGTATGAAATGTTGCAAAATATGCACGTAAGTCAAATATATGCAAAAACCAAAAAAATTTGCTAAAAATATGCAAAATAAGCTTTTTCAAGCACTTGCATAGCATTTGCCGGCCTTGTAACTTATTACTATAGGGACTATTTTTTTCTTGCTTCTTACATCAATATAATTAAAAAAAAAAGTTAAATGAAATAGTTTTTTAAAAGTACCACATTTTGCTGATTTTGAACTGGTCGGGATCTAGTTGCTATCAGACTGGTTCGTTTTTGGCCAGAAAATATGATTCACTATATCGGGCTTTCCCTGCAGGGTGTGAATGTTTTCTAGCGTGCGCATTTACGTACTCACATGTATGTATGTACATATGCGTGTGTGCAATTCAAGCGCATGAAATCATCCAAGATCATAAGGTAAATTAAAATATAATCGGTATTGTCTTCAGTTGATATATTGATGTGCTTATATAATATCTTCATAGTTAAGATATTGCGCAACAATGATACTCACATTTCGTGCTTAAAATTCCAAATGTTTGCCTTCGTGTTTATACATTATTGTTTTGTTCAAGTACTAACGCATATGTATGTACATAAATACATACATATGTATGTATGTATGCACGTAAGCTTTTAGAAACGTATACAAAAGTTTTGAATGAACAAGCCGATAATATTTTTTCTCACATCAGTTCAGCGTATTATTAAATTTCTAACACAAAATTAGCTCCAATGCAGATATTTCACATACATCTGTATACACAGGTGCTAAAACTAGTTTCTGGTTTGCTTTATTTTTTTTGAGAAAGTTCTGAGCCAAAGAATCACACTGAAACTAAAACTTTTTTAAGGCTTATTTCAATCGCTTGAGAAATATTTCAAATATATGAAATGTAAAAATGTATGATTGTTATAATACCGAGTCGAGCTCTGCGGTAGTTCTAACTTTATTGAAGTTGCTATACGCCAAGCTTTCCGTGTTTTGTATGCATGTGCAGTGAAGTACGAGTGGTTACTGAAATATCGAAAGAGTAACGTTTCGAAAAGGCTTTCAGTTTGATCACGTTTAACTTAAATTGAGTACATACATAGTTAGTATCAAGTGACCTCTGAGAGTTGAGCAGTTAAGAATTAACAATTTAACAATAGCATACAAATACAGATTTTGTTTCTATATCCAACACAATCGCATGCACACATGCTTATGTAAATATTGCTGGTAAACGTCTGAATAAAAGCAAATACCGGTTAGTATAAGGGATGGAATTCCAAAATTTTCGAATGTGCCTAATGAACTGCAAAAATAGTGCCAAAACGGAGATGAAAGTACCATAAAATTGAAATTGCTTTATTTTAAGTGTTTTTAAGAACCACAAATGTATTTTTAGAAATAGTATATTTAGTGTACACTGAAATAATATAATACTTATTAATTCATTGAATTATTAGAGTAAAATCATAGTAAAATAACACAATGTTTACACATACACATACATACCTATGTGCGAAATAATAGCAGTGCGACATTTTGATCAGTTTTGGCTTTTCTTCTTTATATTGAATAATTTTTATTAATTTTATATAATGGCCCTTATTATAATTTTTAAGTGATTTTAATTTTCACTTTTCGAATCTATGAGTAATAGATGATTGTTTGTTATACACTGCCGTATTATGCTAAATTTCTATATTTTATGATTGTGCCAAAACTGAATGAATTGTGCATTTTGTGAATGAAAGTGTCGAAAATGGCACTATTGTGCCTGCTTTTCCATCACCGGTTAGTACGGCACTGTAGGGCTGCCAAAGGGTAGATTTTATAATCAATGGTGTTTTAGTTTCTTCTTGGACAGTAAAGATTTTTTTTTTTTTGCAATTTTGTGTATATCCCGTAAAGTTGCTTAATATTCTAATGCATAAATTTTGGCCCTGTATTGGAGTCCCTGAACTCTGCTAAATAGCATCAACTGCCTGGCAGGTCAAATTATAGCTCTCTACGAAGAACTTGCGTTCCTCGCAATGGCGAATTGCACCCATTGAAAATGCGAAAACCTCCAGGGAATCGTGCCACAGAAGAGCTCCAAATTGGCGCGCCCGAAAGTCAATTTCTAGGCGCAGATCTCAATTTAACAGCAGTCATATGTATTACTAGCAGACCCGACGAACTTCGTCCCGCCCAAGTTTTATGTTTTCATTGAAACATTTGGTCCAACGTTTTCACCACAATTCATGTTCACGTTTGGTTTTGTGGTCGTCAGAGAGAATATCCTCCATTGCCGTCTTAAACAACCTAACGAAAGCGTTATGTCCGTGAAGAAGTTCTTGCGGCAACAATGATCCGATTCGATGATAAATCTTCTTTGAATCTGTAAGTATAGTTTGGTGGCAATTCCAAAATGGGGGAGTATCATAGATCCACAGAAATCCAATATGCATAGACTTATTTCAGACGAAATACCATAAATGACTTACAATTATATCTGTAAGCATTCATAATGAATTGTCTTTATTCTGTCGCCACAGCCACCTAGCGAGCAATTTTTCGCAGATTATTTCTCTTAACTTTACCAATACATTTATTGAATATTAGCTAGATCAGATCATAAATACGATTTTTTTGGTAATAACTCGACTCCAGCGCGACCCGGCGTTTTAAGTTGTGAACCTAACTATACAGGGACCCAACAAAATTTCATTAAAATAATTTCGGTCGTTTAAGTTCGCCCACAAGCATATGTACCGAATGTATTTAAAGATATATGGATAAAGGTTTCAGTATATTTGGAAGGCTCCACGGCCCCTTTTCCAATAGCCTCCACTTTTCTCCACGAGTATTGGATTGATTTCAAAATTTCCATACCACAAATACTTACTTTCAGAGATATGAGAGTGGTATGAAAAATTCGATTTTTATGGGAGATGACACGCTTCCTTGATATATCGAAATTATTATCAGCCTATAACCAAAAGGTGTCTAAAAAGATGGAACTTCTCTTTATATGATTGTTATAGATAATAAGTATAGATAAATAGCCAATACCAACTTGTTTTGCGGCGCCTTAAAACACTTTTCAAACTGGAAAATAATTCATTCAATTCTATGTATGTATATACATATATAATACGTGTACCGAATTTAAAGCAAATCGGCCCATAAATAAATTTTTTTCGAATAGATCGGTCCCTGATCCACCTATCAGAAAAAAATATTCTATATGTTAATCCAGGTAATAAGATACCTACGCGCCAAATTTCAAGCAAATCGAACAAGAAGATTTTTTTCGAATAGATCGGTCCTTGGTCCACTTACCAACAGAGAATCCTATATGCCAACGGTGGGCAAACGCGGCCAAATTCGGTTCTTTGCTTAGAAAAGTGCGGCTCTTTTTACTTTCTCTCTTTGCTTAGAACATTTTAGTTCTGTTTACTTTTTAAAATATATATTTCTTTGCTGGATATTCTTTTCCATAGTGTTGATTATTTTATTGGCTTTCTGACTTAAAGTTCTTTACCGATATGATGGGACATTTGCAAAACTTGAATTTGTCTCTACAAGGAGAAAATAAAAATGTTTTTAATTTGTCGCAAATTATTTAAAGTTTTGAAGCTAAACTACATCTTTTTATTCATGATTTCAAAAAAAGAATATTTAATTTTCCATGGCTAGAAAAAAATATTGCACATGATTTAAAAGCAGATTTTGAAAAATTATTTTGAAATTATATAAATGTACGTTTGCATAATCCATAAACCCTTTTTTGTGTAACATAATTGAGGATGAATTTACGATACTCCTTTTTAAGAAAAGCGAAGAAGAGTTGGAGTTTTTGGAATTAAGAGAAGATAAGGCACTGGANCTCCGTCATCATCGACTGCGGGCTCGGGTTCTTCTTCTCCATAACTTTCCTTGCTGCTTCCATTTAGTAGGGCGGAAAAGTGTTCCCTCCATAATTGAAGTACGCCCTGGACATCAGTTACAAGGTCGCCGTTATTGTTCTTACAGGAGTACGCCCCGGTCTTTAAACCTTCCGTAAGTCGCCTAACTCTCTGGTAAAATTTTCGGGCATTCTTCCTGTCGGCCAGCATTTCAAGCTCTTCGCACTCACGTANGCCCTACTAAATGGTAGCAGCACGGAAAGTTGTGGAGAAGAAGAACCCGAGCCAGCAGTCGATGATCACGGAGTCGACACATCCCACCGAATGACTATGACGAGGTACGTATAGCAATAACGCGGCTGAAAAACAACAAAGCTGCTGGAGCTGACAGCCTGCCAGCTAGCTATTCAAGTACGGCGGAGCNATGTCGGTTTGTTGAAGAGTGCTCTCTGAGAGCATGTGTGAGAGTCGAGTGGCGAAAGCGCTGGCTATGTTGTAATTGTAGCTTTTCGACGTTAAGCTTTCCTTGCATATTTGGGCGCACANGGAGTTGATAAGGTGCATGCATCAACTCTTGTGCAGAATATGGTCAGATGAACGCATGCCCGACGACTGGAATTTAAGTGTGCTCTGCCCAATCCACAAGAAAGGTGACCCCGCCATTCGCGCCAACTACCGCATAGGTTACAATGTCTTATCGAGCGTATTGTGTGAAAGACTGAAGCCCACCGTCAATGAACTGATTGGACCTTATCAGTGTGCTTTAGGCCTGGAAAATCGCACCATAGACCAGGTATTCACA